AAAAAAAAAAAAAGACTGAATTTCTAATAAGGTGTGACATCAAATCTATTCATTTGAAACTTATATAAAGCTGTTGTGTGTATTGGTTCCAACAAAATATCAGTTATCATCTTATTACATCATCTCCTGCAAAAAGAGCACAACCACTAGCGCCCTTGTATTAAGAATAACAAAAATCAAAATGCTAAGCAACTATTACTTCATTAATGAAGCAACAGCTGAACTTAAAGAACTCCTTCGTTTGGTGCCACCGCCCAACGAATGAGGTCCATTCCAAAACGACCCCGAATCATCCAAAAACAGAGTCCCGTATAAATCCAAAAGCATTGGATTGTCCAGATAACGGAGATTCTCCAGCATTTTTGCCCTCTGATTCTTGTCCAATGCCTCCTCATTTGTAATAAGAGCGCATAAAGAACAAAGTAAAGAAAATTTCCAATAAAAAGGAATCTATAACTAATATTTGAGTGTGCAATCTGTTGACAATTTAGAAAACTATAAAAATGGGAAACTTATGATTTTGAAACTGATTATTTCAAAAGAACTTCATCAGGTTTGCACTAAAATTGAACAAATAACTAATACAAATAAAGAACACCCGAGGCTTTTGAAAATTGTTGGGTAATTGCTATATTTTTTGACAACATAAATGTATAAATTTCTTTTTTCATTCTTTTTTTCAACATGCTTTTCACTCATCGTAATGAGGCTAAACCTCAAAGTGTTTCTCCTTTTACAATCAGCCCCACTTCTCCACAGAGAAATTTCATATGTCAATTATGTGCGAAAAAGGTTGGGAAAGCTCGACTACCTTAGGCATCTCCAGGTTGGTAACATCATTTCCATTATCTTTGTGGGTATCGTGTGAGGCCAAATAATGGAGGCTGTCATGACCCAACTGCAAATCATGAGACCCCTCTCGTTTTCCAGCATTCTCCAAGTGCTGACCATAGAAATTTCTGATATGTCCCAATTTCATTTCTTGCCCTCTCCTTCCACTCTCACCATCAGCTGCATCAGGCGAGTTCTCCATATTTGACGAGGCATATTCACCAAAAGGGCTGCCTCCACGTGAGATCCCCTATAGTAATATTGAAATAATTAAGAAAGAAAAAAAAAATGGTGAAGAAAAATTATTCAAATTCCTGATCCTAAACTACCAAGTCGGGTCTAACATGACAGTCCCCTAGAAAGACCTAGAAAGTGTGAAATAATTCCCAAGCCAAATAACATAAAACTCTATAAAAACTTATTTTAATTGTTAATGAAGCCTTAGAAACTTAGAAAAAAAAAAAAAATGAAAAAAATAAAATAAAATAAAATAAAATATAAATTCAAACCCTAAAAACCGAAAAAACTCCAGGAACAACTAAAACCCGGAAAACTGAATTTGAGGACTGAAGCTGCTGCTGCAGCTATTTGAAATAATTTCAGAGCAGCTAAAAATTAGGGCACGTCCAGACTAGTACTTAAAGCTGGCTGTGAAAGACTCATACTGCGTGGATCTTGCTCATATCTTGCAAAGCACATACCCAATACAGACCAAGCAATAAATCTAATAACACTAACTGGAAAAATAAAAAATCAAATAGAGAGATATACATTTGGCTTATTATGTTCTTCACCCATGGAGTCATCATCACTGCCTTCAGTCTGACCACCCATCATACGAGCAATCTCCTCTCTTTCCTGTCTACGGCGCATCATTACACAAATTGCACACTGGCAACCTTCCTTGTGCTTCTTAAGTCTGTATATATATATATATATATATAAATCACCAATTTCAACAAAGCAACTCCACATTTGCTGTGTGCCAGAGCACCATTGGTCATATGAGACCAAAATAGTAATATTAAAAACCAATGCTCAGAGCATAATAAGAAAGATAACTCAAGCATTCTATCAAGTATACAAAAGGCTCCAACTTTGATCGGGAAAAGAAACACAGACAAATGATAATATTCTGTAATTTACATGCACCTACCATTCTGATACAGGAAGTGTTCTCTACAGCAGTCTAATACAGAGTGGATAATCAGAAAACATATCAATGCGAGTACATCTATACAAAAAAAACAAAAAAAACAAAAAAAAATTCATCTAATTAAGAACCAGTATAAAGTTCAGCATTTCCCACTGCTCACTTAGATGCATAATATTTTCGAGTTTCTAAAAAATTTTTCGACTAGAAAGCACATAAGACAAAAATCGAATAAAGCATATACAGGCAGACACTGAATTATCATACCCATGGAACTTTTTGCCTGAGAGGTTCAAGGCACCACCATCCACTGGCGTATTCCCTTCACTTGAAGGACTGAGCTCTTTTACCGCATTGCTTTCTGAACCTATAAAACAAGAAATGCTGAGTTATTAACAGAAATAATCTTGCTCAACATAAAGCAAAATTATCAAAATTGATTTCGCTGGGATGATCTGGTCAAATACGTTGACTCAACCTGACCAAGAAACGTCAGGAAGAAATTTACTTCTTACATTCACGACCACTTTCTATGAAAATTAAATTTTCCAAAACACACACACACACACACACACGAAGAAGATACAAGAAAAGAAGAAAAAGGGAGATAAATTCATTGAGCTTATTCAGCAACAACATTAGAGCCAAGTGCACCATTTTAACCCAATGAACAAAGATGAATAGCATAAACGAGAAGAACATCACCATTATTTTCCTGAGGCTGATCATTGAATAAACCAAGAGCCGTCCAATACTTAGTGAAGCTCTTCTTCACCCGCTTCATAAGCTCCACTATATAATCACCTTTATTATTGTATTTGTAACAGTTCTCCCATATATACTGTACGTCTTTGAAGACATCCTCCGAATTCTTGTACTTTACACCTTTCTCAAGGTTATTGCATATCGTACCGAAATCCATCGGTGTCTTGATGACATCAAAATAGTCCTGTTTCCATTCCAGACATCAAGGCAAACACAATTAGGTCTGATGAATATATACAATCTTTGCAAAACATGACTCCACATTAGCAAACCATACATGATAATTCTAACAAGGCCACTGAGCACATTTCACAGATGAATCAATCCATAGTAAAACTAGAACAACATTAATATCAGAGAGAAATAAAAATTTACTTACCGGTATCCCAAGAGCAACAGGGTTCACAGGAGCATTGAAGGGCTCAGCTGCATCCATCTTCATCACTTTTTTTATCACCTAAATCATTACAAATAAAATATACTAACAGTTAAATAAGGAAAACTATAGTTCCAGCATGTTCCCATTACCATTGCACTAAATCCAATTAACTGTACTTCTACCTCCAGTGCAGCTTTCAACTCTTGCTCATTGGATCTAGACTCCTGCTGAAGCGAATCTGCATCCTTCTTTTCTACCCTATCTCCCTTGACGGTTTCAGTATTGCTGCACGGGCTCATACTCGCCGAACCCAATCCCTTGGACATAATCTTTATGCCCAACGACTTTTGAGAAGTATTACCGGACCCACCCCCATTCGTCCCGGACAGAGAGTTTGCACTGTCCTCCCTTTTCTCCCCAGGAACTTCTTGCTTTTCCAAACCCACCTGGAGTCCACCCTTTCCGGTATCACTCTGAATGGGGGCATCCGAGGAGGCACGTTGGGAATCCAAATTTTTCGAAGTCTTGATTCTTACTTTCACGCGCGTATACACTGCCTTACCGAACGTGTTACTGATTGGCCGACTTACAATATCAGCATTTACAGGTTTTTCGGGCTGACTGGTTTCAGGAGGAGGTTTAGCCACCTCGGGTTCTGTCTCAGCCTCAGCCTCAGCCTCAGCCTCAGCCTCCGCCTCAGCATCAGCATCAACTCCAGAGACATCCTCTTCGTGGTCAGACTCGTCCGGCCCAGAGTCATTGTCATCAGTATTCGGACTAACAGCATTTGAAGCCCCGTCATCTGTACTGCCCAGCTTCGGCTTCTTTGCCCGTCCTTTCTTGCTCCCACCCCTTCGCTTCATTTTTATATTTTATATCGCTCTTTCTTTTTTTTTTCTTTCGTAAAGGTTTTTCCAGAAGAAAAAAGCAGCAGCAATTGGAAAAGGCGGAATTACCACGGCCAGTGGAAAGTGTCTCAGCCTATGCAACATCATAACCAAGTCATGAAGAGAAAATGCATTAGAATACCATGTGCAATCCTCTCGTACCATTGGTTCCGATAATAAAAGTGTAGAACTAAGTGCAATAATGACTAACTTGTAGGTTATAACTGCATTTGAAATAAAGGATGCAAATGGCTGGGGAAGAAAGTGATTTGCTGTAATTGGTCAAATTTTCCATTACAATCAGGCATAATAGAAAAATAAAATAAGAAAAGAAAAGCAAGAAAAAAAAAAGGGAAAGAAGGAATGAGACGCAGGAGAAAGCCTGTGCTTGCTGCTCACTGCTCACAGCAACACGAGTACATGTGAAGGGTGCGCGAAAAAATATTGAAATTTTAAAGTGAAGTTATACAGTCAAACTACAGTTTCACTTACATGATAGATTTACATCAACAAATTATGAGATATAACAAATCAACCACAACACTTAGCCAACCAAAAGAAACATAGGAGTCACCGAAATCCACACATCTCTACAACAGCCATGGAATTAAAAGAAGTTTCTGCTCGTGTTTAGCATCTAACAATTCTTTTCCAAAGGTGCAGTTTGTACATGGGCACAAATCCACAAGAATCGACAAAAAATTTCTAAATCCACACATCCAGAATCTAAGCGGTAAGATTATCCAAAACAACATTCTTATGATCATTAAGGTAAAAAAACAATCTCAACATTCCTAACAATCCATTCATTCTAAATTACTGAGCAAAACCCAAAATCATCATCCCTCGCATAGACCTTGAAATCTACAATTTGCTCGACCCCAACATCAAATTAAATATCATCATTAAACAGACGAATATCTCAATTTCATCTCAAGACTCCGTTCGGAAAGAAACAGCCATTGAGCCCTCTAATCCAGACCCAAAATGGCCCTAAACCCAACAACTCAGAAACCCTAAAATTGACAGCCATAAACGCAATTAACAACAAGCATGCACCACAAAGCTCGATTCATCGACCAATTCGCATAACAATTACAGAGAAACTGCAGAAAAAAAAAAAAGATGAACCAATCACAAATTAGAAAAACAGAAAGGAACTTCCTGAAGGGTTTCAGGCGAAAACAATGGCGGAACCGAACACGAACGACGCCATGGAAACAAAACACGATGAAAAGCGGATCATAACAGAGAAACAGAGTTGAGAAAAAAAAAACAAAGTAATGCGCGAGTGTATGTAAATATATATATATAATGAATAGATAGATAGATTACCTCTTTCGAATAAATATTTAAAAATCGATAATATTTTTGACAAGAGCTGGAAGTTAAAAAACCTATAAAGAGGGTTTCTAATAAACTTGTAATTTTTGTCTTTTTATTGAGGAACAGATCTGTTTACGCTATTTTCACGCTCTACAAAGCCTTTATGAACTAAATAGTAAAAAAAGGTCAAAGGAATTAATAAAGTGGGTCAAAAATTGCATCTGCAAAACCAGTATATGTGAGAAAATTCAAAAAGGCATATTATTATTATTATTATTATTATTATTATTATTATTATTATTATTATTATAAAGTATATATGAGAAAATTCGAAAAGGCATATTATTATTATTATTATTATTATTGTTATTATTATTATTTTAGTGTAGTCAGTATATATATATATATATATATATATTTTTTGTAGCTAGCCACGATATCCGGAGCTATGCTCCGACTAATTCGTTGGTCGACCCGAGTCGCACACCTGGCAGTGGTGGTCGACTCGAGTCGCACACCTGGCAGTGGTGGGTGAGTCTCCCAACAAGGATTTTCTGTATCCACAAGTACTCGAACCTGAGACCTTGCTTAAGCGATATCAAGTTGCTTACCACTTGAGTCAACCCTTTTAGTTGTAGTTCGATATACTTAAACCACAATTGCTGGGACGATGCACATAACTCTAAAATTAAATGAAAGAACATAAAGTAGATTTAATATTTATATGTTTTACTTTGTCAGACATATTATATTATTTTAAAATTACTTAGAGAATGTGATAATAGTAAATAGGAAGTTAGAGCTGTGGAATGACACGTTAGAGTCGAAAGGCTTTAGAAGTAGTAGGACGAAGACCGAGTACATGACGTGTGCTTTCAGCATGCTACTCATGATGATGGTGACGTTAGCCTTGACGGGCAATTGGTGGCCAAGAAGGAGATTTTCCGATATTTAGGATCGATGCTACAAAAGAATGGCGGCATTGATGAAGATGTTAGGCATAGAATTGCATCAAGTTGGTTGAAATGGCGTCAAACTTCGGGCGTTCTCTGTGATAAGAGGGTGCCACAAAGGCTAAAAGGTAAGTTCTATATGACGGCGATTCGCCCGACGATGCTATACGGTGTTGATGTTGGCCTACAAAAAAACAACATGTCCAACAACTAAGTGTAGCAGAGATGCGGATGTTGCGTTGGTTTTGCGGGCACGTAAGAAGAGATAGAATCCGAAATGAGGATATTCGAGATAGGGTCGGGGTGGCTCCAATTCAGGAGAAATTGGTTCAACATCGGCTGAGGTGGTTCGGACATGTCCAACAAAGGCCTCCTGATGCACCGGTGCGTAGGGGAGTTCTACAGCGGGCCGATGTTGTTAAGAGAGGTAGAGATCTGCTTAAACTCACTTAGGATAAGTCGGTTCAGAGAGACCTTAAAAATTAGAATATCTTCAAGGATTTAACAGTGGATAGGAGTGCTTGGAGGCTAGCAATCAACGTGCCGAAATCGTGACTTTTGCTCCTTTCTCGTTTGCTCCAATCTCTTCCTTTTGTTTTGTTTTTGTTTTAAGTTTTTTTTTTTTTTTTTTTTTTTTTTTTTTTTTTTTTTTTTTTTTTTTTTTTTTACCACTGTTTCTATTGAGTTTCATCTTTAGCCTACCCCAACTTGTTTGGGACTAAAAGGCTTTGTTGTTGTTGTTGATAATAGTAAATAAAGTTATTTATTTATATATTTTTTAAAATTTTATGTTACAAGTATTTTATTTTATTTTTCCGTCAATACGTAATTGGGATATTGGTTCGATACACAATTATTTATTTTCTCATTTTGAATGTTAAATACCCAAGACTTTTAAATAGTTGTTTACACCCCCATCATAAAATATATTGTGATATCTTCTCATTTTATGACAACATTGTTGAATATGTTCTTTGATGGGTGGTACACAAGTTGTCCTTGGGTCGGGTTAAATCGGCACAACCACGAACATCTTTTTGTCTCGAGCTCTGCTAACTTGCAAAGAAATACTCGCAGATCCTCTCTCGGATGAATAGCCTCTGACATTCAAATATATAGCTAGGTTTAATGAATGATGTCCCATGCCTAAAATATATTACAAAATATAACATAAATTCCACCAATGGTATTCAATCCGAAAATCATTGTATTTTCTGAAAATAAAACCTAAGTAATTGGTTGAACAAATATATTTTAAAAGTAAATTGCAAAAACAAAAAAATATTTGATGAACAATTAAAGGTAACAAACATAACCAGTTATATCACACATTCAAATTTGAAAGAGATTCAATATCACATAACTCTATTTATCTGATTTTTTATGGTAAATTAATTTAAATGAACATATTGGCCCCGATTCGACATATTTGATCTAATATTTAGGAACCATGCAATTTCAGAATGGCGCATGATGGTAACAAGAAAAATATTAAATAAACTTATATTATAAAAATTAATAGATTATATATATATAGCATTTTTATCAGCTTCTCCAACTCTTACAATTTCAAAATAAAGTAAACAAAAAAAATATGGCACCAATTTGGGATACGATCGAGGGAGTCAGTCGCAACCACAAAACCGTATTTGAAATTGAGAGCAGTCCAAATTATTGAGAGAAAATTCGATATGGATTACACAAACTTCATTTTTAGAGATCATTTTTCATGACCAAGAGGTAAGATTTTGATTTGTTATACATTACATAATTACGTAAATTATTTAAATGAATTTGTATAAATTGATCGTGTAGGGTGCACGCATAACTGACATTATACGTTCTGCGAATATGAGAAAATTTTGTGGTTTAATTAAGAAAGCGATGTGTATGCGCTCCACAATTATGATGTTGAAAGCACCACTGGAATATACAATTCAATAACCCACAAGTGGAAGCTTGTGATTCATAAAATGGCTGGCTTCTAGGCTATCCTAGCGAAATAGACCTGGCATAGTCTCTGATTTTCTTTTTTGACTCCTAGGCGGGCTCCCGACCAAAAAAAGAAGGCATGCCTTTGTGCAGGAGTAACTAGAAAACTGAAAATTGGCTGGGGATGAGGATGTCATTGTACTTGGACCCGCTTCTAAACTAACTTGACTTGATGCCGGGGTGTTTACTTCTGTTGATTAGCAACCTCTGATGTTTCTAGTTCCTGGCTAACAAGGAAATCCCTCTATTCATCTCGCTCTCTCCTTCCCAGTCTGAGATATCCGAGATCGGCCTTTCTTTTTTACCCCAATTCTAGCCAATTCATTCCGTGTGAGGTCCCTGTCATCTTAGTGCTGAAATACAAGGGATTTTTTCCTTACCACTAATGAGGGGGCTGGAGAGATATAAAAACTATTTATTCGAGTAGTTTTGATTAAACTACTATGAAATTTTTGCAAAGCTTTGTTAGTATTTGGTGATATTTAATTTTATTCGATGTCGTTGAATATTACTAATAAATTACTTTATTTTTCAATATATATGAATCTATTGAATTTATTATGTTTTAATGTCCACAGTTCATAATTTCAACCGAAGCTACAAATATTTTAAAATTAGACATTTAATTGCATCCATTTATATATTTATAATTTCTTGCATCAATAATGATTTTTGTTTTTATTTGAGTTCCACTAATATTAAACA